TAATTGACAAGAACCTCTAACTCCCCTTAATAACAATTTCATAATTCGAGCCATATGTAAACATGCATGCCTGGACGCATGGTCGTCGATCGTATGCATGCATGATTAGGCAGTGCCGGTACGCGAAGGGCGCCGGTCGCTTGCAATCGATGATGGTGATCGATCTGGCGATCCAGGTGTGCATAAAAAAGTATGGAAAATCGTAGATAGAAAAAGAAAGTTTAGCAGAGACAGAGAGTGAGCCCGTAGCTTGCGTGCTACGTAGGGACTAGCTTGGGAGGGCATGCTTCACTCATAATTCAGAGGGAGGGCCCAATTGTACACGATATTTAGCTTTTGTCTAATTGCATGCGTAAACAAACACATGGATTGCTCTAATGAAAGGCAATGCTCTCATACATTTATTTATAGCACAAAAAGTATGTATGATATGTTGACGAGAACATAGATGTGACTGACTAGCTAGCTAGCCATATATTCTTCCATGCATATGTGTTCAACGTTCTGACCTTGCCCGTTCCTTTCCTTCCCCCTTCCTGCACGCGTATAAGTGTATAACTGGTTAGGTCCCTATGTGAATTGTTTAATTGTGCTATATATGCTCAAAATATAGAGCTTATTATATCACTTCCATGCCATTCTAGCTACTAGTTGCTTCTGCACCCCCTAGATGCAAAAGAGTGTCGGTTAACACTGGTGCAGTTACCAATACACTAGAGCACTACAGAATTTGATGACAAATTTAGCTATATATCATTTTCAAGAGTTCAACCCAAAATATTTTTTTGAAAGAAAGTTCAACCAAAATATTTGAAAAGACATTGATGGTTAACTTTTAACATGTTGGCTGCATGATACCTAAAACAAAACTCTTTTGTGAATTAAGATGAGTAGCAATTTTTGTTACGCATAAATATGCATATGTAGCAAATGGTCTTGTATCGTATCCCTTTTTTCCAATTATTAATTGAAGACTTCACAATGTTCACATTAGTCTCCACTAGACATTTTAAAAAAACCAACAAAATCTTTAAAAACATTCAAAATATCTAGCCACCAATTCTCCGTAGACTCTAATCATCATTTGCAGTAATAGACAAATCTATTTGGTTTTATAAGTGGTGCCCACATTTACCATTATGAAAAAAGAACATAAAGTAACTCTCTAGATCGGTAAATATGCATCCAAATTACCCACCTATATCATTAGAAAAGATATTCCAAATAAGATAACCCCTAAATCTATATCATCTAAATTACCCATCTCTAACAGTATAAAAGATAATCAAAATATGTATAGTTGCTAAATTTATTCAAGACTTCAAGTACTTATGTCTCATAAGATTCTACATGTGAGCACATGTTGAATTGTTGATAGACTATAGTTCAAAACAAACCTACTGATGAGGTTTAGTAAGGAGTAATACAACTGTTAGCATATAGTTAATTGCCAAATGAGCATATAAACCCATAAAGGCCAACCTCGCTATTCAAAATGTAAGTCATACCTCCCGGATTAATACTCTGGCCATTAATTTTTGTATCATATTACATCTAACATGGTAGCATAATAACAAAGCCACAAAAATACATTAGAAATGAACTCAATTAGTGAAACCAATTTTGTGTAACAAATTCACTTGTAACTAGACTAATTCCAGTGAAACCGATTGGCCATATGCGCACACTGCCCAAATGTCCCATGTGGCACCTAAAAGTTCCGTTTGAATACCAAAAGGAATGAAAGGACATGATAAGCCCATTTTGACTCTAGAGAAGAGAAGCCTATGTGCAATCAACGATATCATTCAGACTTTCAGAGTCAATCTGAGAGATGGAACTGTCGTCCCTTTCGACACTTTCGTATCACCAAACAGCTGTAGTTAAGTAGTTTATATATCTGGCATTTGTTTTTAACGATCCAAATGCAAAAGTTGCAGTCTGAAAACAAATAGAACTGCGTGCTGAAAGAAATTAAAATCAGCCGTCGACGACGGATTATCATTTACGATAACCACTCTGATTTATTCGTCGGTGAATTTCTTAATTCCTTTCTCTTAACGAAATAGGTGCTAAGGTACGTTCGCGAATTCAGGCTTCCAGCCCTAAAATTATGCATCCATCCATGCCTATAGTCGTATGTGATCATCGACCTTTATATTTGCCTTCAACATTTGCCTATCCATCGTAATCGTAGGAACTAGTATGAAGCGACATAAAGACTAGCTAATGGTTTGGTTAAGACTTGTCAGAGACGATTTACGACGATACATATACAGCATGCGTGTTAGCTAGCTAGACGAGTCAGTAGATGGTTGGATAGATAGATGAGATAGATAATCACGCATGCTTTGGGTTTGCTTTTCCGTAGGTGCAGTAACTTGCTTGTGAGCTAAGGGAGATAGGAGATTAAAGAAAGCAGCGGGTAGAAGCAGAGAGTGAGAGACAGGGGCAGGGGTACGTCACATGTGTCTCGCCTTTGGTAAACACGCGACATTATCATCGCCGGTCGCAGTCTGCAGGTGGATTAACAAGACGATGACTCGTCAGCGTTGCTCATTATCCAACGGAACGGAACCCCTGCTGCTGGCCCCGGGCCCCTCCGATCCGTCAGCATTCAGCAACACGGGTCGCTGTTGCGTTGTACTACTCCTCCTATATGTGTTCTCTTGATGGCCGCTTCTTGGCTCGCTTGGGGAATCCTATGTCTATGCAGCTATGCTGACGGACTCTGGCCGTCAGGTTCTCGTCCTTGCTCGTTGTCCTCCTGAGGAATGCCGCTTACTATTAATCTCCGCCGTTGGTTTGGCCTAATACTGTCAGTGACAGTCAGGCTTTGATCAGGCTCTTTCATTGCGTCGCAACCCACGCCACGCCACGCCACGCCACTCCAATCACCGGGAGGAAGGGACTGGACTACTGACCGGAGAATATGCTCGCGCGACCGTGTGTTTCCCGAGAAAGCAGGGGGCCGGCCGTGTCGCCGAGAGCCCGAGACGCTGGCCTGTGCTTGCCAAATGCCAATCCACCTCCCATCGGCATCAGGGCAGACGCGGCCTCGATCTGGTGGCGCTCGACCGAACCGCTCCAACGCTATCATGCACGCACGCCGCGCGCCTCGCCTCGCTGCTTTCGTTTCTCAGTTCTCACACAAGCAAGCTGGCGTCTGGCGCGATGCTTTCGAGCGAAATGGAGCACCCGCGCCGCCGTGGCACGGCCTCCGAATACACAAGCTACCCAGTTTTTGTGGGACAGGACTTTTCAGGTGAAGCTGTGTGTGGCCCTCTAAGGCCCCGTTTGGCAGACCTTCCAGAGCTGATTCTCTGTTGAATCTAGCTGGAGCTCTGCCAAATAGGTTTTTTTTAGAGAGAAGTGATTCTCTGCTAATTCCATGAAATGATTCTCTGAAATAAATTAGAAGGCCGAGACCTAAAAAAAAAAGTAGCTTCTCCGGATTCTGTGAAGTAATTCTCCATCATGATTTTAAGAGTTTATGTTAAAAAATAAAAAAAAATTACTTTCAACCACAAAATCACTTCTATCAGAGAATCAGCTTTCTTAGAGAATCATAATCGGATGGAGCTCTACCAAAACATGCCCTAAACCTCTTCCGTTTTGCTGTTTTTGACCGTCAGTCAGTCAGGCTTTGATCAGGCTATAATATATATATATATATACTAGCAAACATGTCTGTGTGATGGGATAAAATCAAAACTTATATCTCTACTTAGTTACAAAAGATATGTATATTTTGCATTTAATCCATCGGTAATGAAGCAATAATTACATTAGAACATTGACCGTCTATAAAAGTGCAATTTGGAATAATGCCAGCCAAATTAGCAAATTCTTTATATCGTGCAAGGAAAAGGAAAAAAAAATCAAATTTACTATATATATAGTAATCATATTTTTTTATATAGTAATCGTATTGGGTATGTACTTTTTTTTGCGCATGAGTATGGACTCTTTGGTTAAACATAGATCATACACAACCCAATACATTTTGTAATCGGATTCCGTATCGCGCTACATAAGAGTTATTCTAATTCATATGAGCACATAAGAGTTATTCTAATTCATATGAGCACGGATTATATATATAAGTCCAGACGAAGGAAACTCTCGACTGCCGGTAGTTAGGGAGAGGTGGACGAAAAAAATGGCCGAAAATTTTATTAGATATAGATATAGAGGTATTGATATATATATATATATATATATATATATATATATATATATATATATATATATATATATTCTATAATCATGCTGTTTGGCCCTAAACCTCTTCGGTTTTCTATTTTTTTTATTTATTGGTTGCTGCAATCCGATGCTCAAATATGTACCACCTTATTTATACAAAATTGCTCTATACGGGCCTCAGGGATAATGATATCAGACCAAGCCCTATTGACTTTTCTCGGCCTAACCTTCTTCTCTGTGATGCCGACATAATCACAGCCCATTTAGGATCCAACAGAGCAAGGTGGTCCATCTCCACCTTTTCAGAGTCAGCCAGTCAGATTGCAACCTCCTTGCTTCACAGCATTTTGTTGCTTATAAACGTCATGCAGCCAAATGAAACTCTTTGTGCGCTCATTACTCAATCAAAGCAAGGAGAAATCCCCTACACAAGCGGATGGAGGCAACTAGCTAATAGAAAAAAAGAATGCAGTCAACCAGAACATCGGGGAACAAAAAAAAAAAAAAAAAGGATCCTCCTGTTTCATAAATTAATTCTTTTGTCGCTTCAGAAGGCAGTAAAAGTTACAAAATTGCCTCAAATTCTCTTGCCACATGTAAACACACCTCCGGAGCTCAAAATCATCTGTAGCACCCTCCAAATTCGCATTGCTTGCATGATCCATTTAGCTTCTCGAAACGAATTTTCTTCTGTGGCGTGGCTGCGAGAGTGCAGGCTGGATGGATGGGCGTTCCACTGTAATGCTTGTGTGATCTTCTACAACATCTAAGGGGCAAGACATCAATCATCTACTCTACAAATCCTCTTTCTCATCTTTTAGTCGGATTGGGTGAATTGCAACTCCATTTTGGGCCGATCGAACTAGTCCCCATCTTCCAAGGCGAGGCTCCTGATGGAACAGAAATTTAGTACTGAGCTCAGATTACAACATTCACAAAGATCACAGTGTTGTGCTGCAAAAGGATGAAAAGAAATTGTATCCTTCCACATGGTTCAGATCGTAGAGCTTAGTAGAACAAAGAGCTTAAATGCAAAGGATACCTAGTTCATAGGCTCTTATGAAACAAGTTCACATAAAGAGCTTAAATTGTATCCTCCCCCCTCCCTCTCTCTCTCTCTCTCCCTCTCTCTCTCCCCCCATATCATGAGAAGGTTTCAATGAAATCTACGAAGTATCTGAGCAGTAGTAAAAAAGGGAGCATGATATACTGACCTGGCCAACACCAGCAACAATAAAACGTCCAGATTTTGCTATGGCAAGAGAATTAACAAATCCATCCTGGCATGACAAAAAAACATATATCAGTGACACATGGCAAGGAAAAGTACAATGTTCAACATTCTTTTACATTGCTAGAATGAAAAAATAAATTGAGCAAAGGAATGCATTTTAATTATTAATTGAAGAAAACTATGACAGTTGATCCTGCATGGTATGGGTTTGGGACAGCTAATCAGCAGAACATGCAGCAGGTGCAGTATCTGTCTTGAATAAATTCCAGACGAAATGTCTGACCTCTCTTTGGGAAAACTTATCACAAATCAAACAAAAACAAATTGGTATCCAGCCCGAAGGGTTCATATATCAGCGCATGGCTCAGAAATTACATTGTGACCCACAATTTGACCTGAAACGATTTCATGGCTGTGACAGTGCATTTTTTTATCTTCTACTAAATGAGTGATTCCATGGACTTCCAGGAATACACAGGATGAAAGATTATGACAACAAAGCCAGTATATGTTGGAAAACACATCTGACAGCTTGCAGATTTACCCGAGCCCGATTCCAATGGCTGAAGCAACAAACTGCTTTAACATCCTACCCAACAGCCCCAATAAGCAGATTCTACACCATCATAAAGGGCGTACCCAGTGCAGAGAGCTCCCGCTCTGTGCGGGGTCTGGGGAAGGGTGTCAGTGGCAAGCCTTACCCTCGCTTGTGCAATGCGAGGAGACCGTGACTCGAACCCAGGACCTTCCGGTCACAGGCGGTAAGACTCCATCATAAGCTGTGCCAAACAGGGCCTAAGCCTAATACGGGATGCAAGATACTATGTTGGAGAATACATATCTCAAGTACTCACATTGTCATGGAAAAGCAGGGGAGAAAGAAGACATACTCAAACTCAACATTGTCATGGAAAAGCAAGGGAGAAAGAAGACTACAGAGGTGATAGCGGAAAGCGCTTATGAATTTCTTTCACTAGGTAGGGGCTGATTTCTAAAGCAGCTGGGTTGTACAGACTGAAAAAGGTTCAAAATTTTTTTAGTAAGTGTTTAGTGAGCTACAAATGATTATTTTCAGTTGTGCTCTGACTTATAAAATATGAGTCACTGTGGACTATATCACTGCAGTGGGCAAGCACATCTATTCCCAGAAAGTAAGGAGTGCCAAAAGTGCTAGTGAACAGAACTGAAGAAGGGCAAAAAGGGCAGACCCAGTGCCGGAGGCTCCCACATGAGTGGGGTCTGGAAAAGGAAAAAACCGAGGCAAGCCTTCCCCCCGCAAAATCTGTGGAGAGGCTGCTTCGAACCCACGACCTGGTGTCTCAGTGAGACAACTCTCACGACTGCACCAGGCCTGCCCTTCCACAGAACTGAAGAAGGATGAATAAAAAATGTACATAGTGAAACCTATCTAAAGGGACTCCAAAGCTTGATAAAGTACAATCTATCCATCTAGGTGTTTCTTTTTGCAAGTTTTTTAGTTCGTCGTTTCATTGTCATCATCGATTAGTAACATCATCAGCTGCATGGTCCCTTGATCTTCAGTTTAAAGCGCTTGTGGGCATTACAGTGAGCAGCAAAGAAAATTTTGTTCGACTGAAAAAATTGCAGATACAGAGGAATACAAAACATCACCCGCCAAAAACATATGAACAATGCAGTGTTTGTGTGGTGAGTTACTAATAAAGCACCTGCCCGATGAAGAAGGCGCTATCAGCGAAACTCCCAGGGAACATCAATTTTGGCCTCCCATGAATCAGAAGAACAGCTAAGCGAGTTAATCTGGGATTATGAAGGCCATGTATGCAAATCAACACTCAGCTTCGAGTACGCAGAGAAGTCAGACACAGGGCAGTAGGCGTGCAGATCGAAGAATATGTGGAGAGCCACATGGGTCCACCTCAAAGCAGATCGAAGAGAGGCAGATAGATAAATCGACAAGCGGCTCGAAAGAGTCCAGGTCTTGTGTGTTTCAGACGAGCACAGATCGATTAAAGCTTGTCTGGGATTGTCAATGGCCACACCCAATCGCACTGGAATGGAAACCACGGCTCTGCTCATTGAAAAAAGGAATCTGAAAGAAAAAGATATGTTCAAGAATCCATCTGCCATCTCACAATAGGACATGAAGTGAAGGACAGGATAAAGCAGAGAGGATGTTGATTTTCTCTACGCCCGCAACGGAACTGAGATATCATGAGCAAGAAGCCATCCAGTTCTCTCAAAGACGATTGCTTCTTTAACCCCCACGAATTAGAATCACAACAACAGCCACAGATTCAAACGCAAAATAAAAAATGGAGCTCAGGCGAGAAAAACAAGAAACAAAGAAAACAACGAAGATCGAAAGCTTGATGAAGTACAGTGGTGGCGGCAACACCATGGTCAGGATTTCGATCTGGTGGTTTGGTGTATTTGATCAAGCACAAAAGGTAAGTTCTAAACTTGAGGAATCCATAGAGGAAAATGATGCGAATGCCATCTATTGAGTGCTTTTGAAATTTACGAGATCAAGTAGGTGGTCATGTATAAATGGATGCTATGGAGAGTAAAATAATTAAGGGGAAAAATAAGAAAGTGGCACCAAATCTGCATACATGCTTAACACAAAAGGCTGGTTTAGCTTGTATAATAGGCCAGGTGGAGTAACCATCTAAAACTCTATATTTTCCGCTCCCTTATTCACAGATAGTAGCCAACCCAAATGAACCATAATATGGACTCCGACAAATAACTATACAGGCTAAAGTTCGCTAAGGTACCCAAAGTATTAAACGACAGAGTTGACAATACATTGGACATTTGAAGAATGTCTGATTCAGAATTACACTCTAAAGACTTCCAACTAATAAACACCATGAAATAATAGTCATTGTTTATCTGCACAGTCAGCAGAGAACATATATGCCCCTGGACATTCCAAAGAAACAACTACTTACCTTCTACTCCCTCCATTCACAAATAAATGATGTTTTGGGGTTATCTGAAGTCAACCATTTCAAACTTTTATTACAAATTATGCTTTTTTTTGTATTAGTTAGGATATTGAAATGATACAAGATTCCTGTTGAAAATTAGTTTACATGATAGTATACTTTTGCCATGTGTTACAAAAAATTATGTTCTGGAGATCATGTTTTTGTCCAATTGTCCAGAACATCACTCATTTGTAACTGGAGCAAATATGATCGAATTAGAAACTACCAAAGGACCTAGACTGATTTAAGAAATCCCATTAATGTCCTTTAATTGAGCACATGTACATGTCAAGTCTCAACAATAGATAGCAAGATGAAAATGCATTGATCACTTAATCTGTGATGGATATAATATTCAGGACTACATTCAGCAAAATGAATCGAGTAACAAGAGTAGCATACCAGTTTCAAATCGAATAATGGCTCGACTCCCTTGGAATCAGGTTTGATAGCCCAGAGACGAACTAAACCATTTCCTGCTCCTGATGCAGCAAGGTCAGAACCTCTTCTTGCAGCAACAGTACCAACCCATGACTGGGCTGCGGATGGCACATTTTCAGGTTTATGTATTCCATTTTCTGCATTGAAACATGAGATATAAAGCATTAAGGATTCCACAAATATAAGGTACAAGTATAGTAGTAAAACCATGATGCAAAGTGGTACTAAAACTGAAGGCCATCTTAACAATAATTGAAGAGATGTTGAAAAGAAAACAGACTAGTGAACACAGGAATATCACAGGAATTGTGCAGGAATTTCACAGGAATCAGTTCAATTCATAGGAAAAACGCAGGAACAAGGATTTTCCCCGCGTTCCAAACATGAAGGGGATGCCATCTTACCTTTAGGTGACTCATCATCATTGTCAACTGAATTAAGGTTAGTATATGATACTGGATGAGCATTTTTTATTATGAGAATAGGTTTTTCCTCATTATGCTCCAAAGCTCAATGCTTCCATCATCAGATCCAGACAAAAATTCCTTGTCATCAATAAAGCAGCAGCACTCTAAAGATGCGGCAGCAGGAGCACGGAACACTAACTGCGACTCTTCTGGAATCTGTCCAAGAACAAGGAGACTTCAATTGACAGAGTAAACTGCAGTATCTACAACATGAATCCATCACATCCCCCTTATTAAATGATAAATAACTAACTGAAGGATGCTCCTACAAACCACAGTCTGCCATGTAGTAGTTAACCTAGAGGTTTCCTAAATCCTAAATAAAAATTAAAAAAAAAAACTAGAGGTTTGCATCATACACAAACACAAACACAGCTTGAAATTACTCTGTGTATGAAAGCAATGCCATATAGTTAATAGTAGAGAATCTACATCACTTCTCATGAACTATTTTTGTCATTGCTTTGACAAGAATAGTGCATGTGGCATTGCTTTAGGTGAATCCTCAGCAAAACTTGCAAATAATCAAAATTTATAAAATAATCATAATCTACAAAAAATAATAAAAAACTCAGCAAAACCCTGTAGCATTTATGCCAGCATTCAGTAGTGATTGGCCTAACTAAAAGCATGTAGTCTCTGAAAACCGAAGGAAAATGGAAGAAGCAGGTCATACAGGATGGCACCAGTGTTACTGCTGTGAACTAGAGGGCTAAGTGGTCTTTCGGCAATGGGTACCACAGCGGTATGGAAACAGATTTTCCATATAAAGCCTAGTGATCCTTTATTAGATAATTTCATCCAGTTCACCGGAAGAAAATCTTCTGCACTCTATGACAGCTGGGTGACAAACACGAATCACGTATGTACTTAGTTACAACTTTACCTTCCAAAGGTGCATCGTACGGTCCCGTGCTACAGTTAGAATCCTGTCTTTACTAAGTGCATCCATTATCAGGATTTCATTCTGATGCCCATATAAACAGTTCATGTATGTTCTATCCTCTGCATTCCACTGCATTATTGAACGGTCAAAAGAACCAGAGAATAGCTCTGAAGAGTCCGGCGCAAAAGAAAGACATGATATTGGTCCCCGATGGCCGCTAAATGCCTGCAAAAACAAATAATTGCATTATTGAACAGAGTTAGCCAGTTAGGTAGACTGGCTCCAAAAGAAGTTCAGCATAACTATTGGCTCAGAAAGCATCTCAGCTTAACTATACCTACAGTTTCTTTTATATTCCAAAATTTCTCTTATATTTACACTGATTATATTCTAACTTGGAAGCAATGTTCAAAAAGGCGCTAGGCGGTGACCTACCGCCTAGAGCCTAGGCGTTGTCTAGGAAGTTTCTAGGCGTTCTACACATATACATATATATATATTACCTTATTAAATAAAAGAAAAAACAGGGGACTGTGGACTGAAAGTTAGACAAAAAAGCCCAGCCCACCATTCCCTCCCAGGTGCACGCATCCACCTAATCTTGTTGACTCACGGACTCTGCTTTCCGCCCGCCTCCTCCCTTCAATCTCCGCCGCCGCTAGCTTCCTCCTGGCTGCCGTCTCTGCCGCCAGCAAGGCTGCGCCTGCCGTCTCCGACGCCGCGCGGCCGCGCCTGCCGTCTCCGACGCCGCGTGGCCATGCCTGCAAGCAGCCCACCGTCCATGCCGCCTCCCCCGCCACCCCGCTGTTCCCACCTCCTCCTCCGGTGCCCCTGCTGTTCCCACCTCCTCCCCCACTGCTCAGCATCCTTACCTTCGCGGATCTGCTTGTAGGAACACCGGGGATGACATGTCCAGCCGCCACGGCCGACGGGCGCCGCCTAGGTACTGCCTACCCCCCTAGGCTCCGCGGTACCCCATCGCCTAGCGCATAAGCGCGCCTAGGCAACCGCGGAATCACGCCTTTTTGAACACTGCCTCTGCCTGGAAGCATTGGATCTGGTTTCGTTTCACTATATTTAATTTATGATTAGAACTGGATTATATATTACTCAACTTCTAAACAATATTGTGGATAGCCAAGAGTCAACTGCATTTCATAAGAAATGTTCAGCATGTACTATATCTAGCAATACGTTTATGAACATTGATGAATGATGCTCAAAGTGCATGGAGAATATGGGTAGATTTGATCCAACCAAACTGCCTTCCAAATATATCTCAAACTTGCAAAGTACAACTCCTTAAATCGGTGTCATACCTGTATGTGTTCCCGTGACCTAACATCCCATAAATGGATATGACGGTCCAAGCCACCACTCGCCAAGTAACGACCATCAGAACTGGCAGCTAAAGCCAGCACTTGCTTGCTTCTTTTAGCTGATACTGGTGGTTTAGCATGATGTGAAACCAACACATTTTCACTTGGCCATATATACTTCTCACATTTCCCAGTTTCAACATCCCAATGCATAATGATTCCATCTTTTGATGCTGAAAATCCCTTATCACTATCCTTGGATAAAGCAACAGCAGTAACAGGTTGCCGGTGCTTCACAAGAACCTTAAAGCCATCCTGAGGTCCCGGTGGTAATACCCTGCAACAATTTCACAAAGTTTAGTAATTTGCACTAGTCCAGACTCAGTTTCTATGGTCAGCCATACACATAGAATTTCAATGTTGAACTTAAATAGATATGGCATTCTTTTAATAAGGCTGTTTAGTAAAAGCTTATAGAATGCATAAAGGATTCAATTGTTATGACATGGCATTCTTTTAATAAGGCCATCATTGTTATGACAGTACAGACCATAACCATATTCCATCTCAGATAATAGATTCAATACTGACAACTTCAGCACTTTCCACTTCAATATATTAATCATATCATATGGTCTCCAAGCAGTCAAAATGTAGTATCCTTTCGTCCATGTTTCAAGTTTCAACAGATTTATGTACACTAGCAAAACAGATCCCACCTGGACTAAAATATGGCTCAATGCAACCAACTGTGCCAAAGAAAGGGGTGGAAATGAACCTTAGTCTCCATCATGCAAACAGATTCATGCTAACTAAATTGCTCATTTTGTAAATAATACGACAAAAAACTTATGTTTGAGGGCACTTTCAATTTCAAGCATTAAAAACAAACACATCGTGCAAAAACATTAGCATCTAGGTGGGAAATGAGGTTATTACTCTATGGTTTCCTGGTATATTTCAGTAATCCTCAAAGTATTGAAATCTCTTATATTCTATAAATCAGAAGGGACCTGCTATAATACAAGCACCTAGTTTTTCACTTTTCAGGGGATGCGTAGGAACTGTCTGATCTGAATCAAACATGAAACCGAAGCGTTTTCCAGCTTCGCTCAGTTCTGAGCACCCCCCACCCCCTTCTGTTCTCCTCAGGACGTGGCCACGGCATCCCCACTGCCACATTAACAACTCTCAAGGCCCACCGCCCACTGCTGGCTGGCGGCACCCCGCCTCACCGGTCCACCTGCCTCCCACAAGCTTCTGCTTCTTTCTAAGCCCAGATCACCCAGTAGCCTGAAAACCCAAAACCCTAACCCCTTCCAGCCACCGCTCGACATTGCTGTGCCATCACCTGAAATATCACAGATCTCAGGCGCCTGATGTATAGGAGTTGTGTAGATGAATACAGAAGTGCCACTTTATGTTTAATATACCATATACAAGCCCAAACCAGCGACCAGCATTTTCGTTTAATTAATCCCTGGGCCAACAAATGGTGTTCCTATTCTTAGCACTGATTTGCAGCCCCCTCTCCCAACCCCAATGGCAGGGTTGTAATGCAATTTGCTTCAAGGGGAATTAACCAGTAGCTAAAGAGCACTCTCCACTCCAATCACTACCCTAAACCAAAAGAGGTTCTGTTCCTCCATTTGTGAAATTACGAACTGTGGTTACTTGGAAACCCCAAATGAGTTGCTCAATGGTAGGGGAGTAGGTAAATACACTAAACTCCCACATAAACAGATACATCTGACAAACTACCATTCTGGAGATAACTAGAAGGGAATTTGTTTCTGACCTCGCAGCAATCTCCCTCCGCTTCCTGCCGCTCTCTTCGAGCTGCTTCCTCTGCAGGAGCTCCGCCACCCGTCTCCCTCCCGACTCGTCCTCGTCCTCGTCCTCTTGCCCCCTCTTAGCGACCTCAGTGACCTTCTGCAGCCACTCCTTCGCCATACGCATCTTCTTCTCCCCCACCGTCTCCTCGTCCTCCTCCTTACCGCCCTCGTCCCCATCCTCATCAAACCCGCCGCCAAGCGGAGCCACGCCGTCATCGTCGCTGTCCTCGCTCTCGATGTCCTCATCACGGCCCCCGCGGCGGCGCTTGGGCTCGGACTCGAAGAAGGGGTCGTCGTCCCCTCCGCCGCCGCCACGTCGGGAGCCCGGGCGGGGCTTGGGGCGCGAGGCCCGCTTGCGGGGGCGCGGCGCCATGGTGGCTGGTGGGGAAAGCGAGCGCTCACGCTTGGGCTAGGATTTCGGTGGAGGGCAACGCGGTGTTTTCGCCGCCGCCGCCGCCGGTGGTAAGCACGAGAGTTTGGGGAAGCGACGGGCGGCGGAAAGGCGAGGGTTTAAGACAGGAGTGGAGTTGGGGACGAGGGCTTAACCGGTCAGCGGCGGCTAACCTGGCTTTTGGGCCTTATGGGGTTGAATAGAGTCTGGGCCGAGCTTCTCCCTGAATGTAAATTGGGTTGAATTGCTCCTATATATTTTTCTACATTTGTTGGGCCCTCTTACTGTGACTGAAAACGGGGCAGTTACACTCGACGGCCGACCGAAGTTTAGGATAGCAACGAATGAGGATAGATGATGGATCCAAAATTTCCCACGACAATTATTGACCAAACAAGATAATTCAGATGGGTGAAATAATCCCGATTGATCAACCAAACGCAAGCAAGCAGCATCGATATTAATGATAGAGAGATCGGCTTACAATTTGATGCAATTCAAACCCTAATAAGATTATTCGACATTTGCTTCCGAGGAACACCATTAGAAGATGGGGAAATTCAAGAATTCCAAAGAAACGCACCCAGGAAATATTTCTGATCACATACTCAATCTCGATCCAATCTGGAATGGTAGCTGTCACGACGGCAAAGACGATGGCAGCGCCACCCTTCGCTTGGGAGTAGACCCTCGATCACCCTTTGCTTGGGAGCAGACCCTCGACCAAAAGACACGGTAAACAAAATCCAATCTGAATAACTTGAGGAGTCATGGTCTCATCACACATGGACTGCTCAACAACATACATGGAAAAGTAATGCTTGCAACGAGTGCGCCAAAGGCATGGGTTTTCGTCGTCAAACTTGGGGAAATCAAGTTTAGGCAAGTGACCAGTGGGCTGGGGTGATATGTTTGGGTCATGGTGGCAAAGGTGGAGCAGGAGGATGAACACGGATGCATGGAAGAGTATTGGGAGGAACCGTACCATTGGCCGGGATATGAGTTGTGGGCGTCGAGGACCCAAACTCAAGATCATGTGTAGTCTGGTCGATGCGGTGCCCGCCGGGCCCAGTGGTGGTTGGTCCAGTAGATGAGAGCTTGACCGCTGTGGTTGGAAGCGAAAGGAGGCTAGGCTAGTGCGATGATGTGTCGAGCACGGCGCAATCCCAGTGCTTGGTGACCTTTTGGACTTCGAGGCAGAGGTCGTCGACGAGGCCTTTGAGCTTGGGGCGTTGAAAGCTCTAGTTTGGTTTTGGATAATTGATGAAACCCTAGGTACTAACCTTTAGCTCTAAGTGAATATGAGATAGGTTAGTACACACCAAGTGGTGGAGCAAGATGAAGTCCATGAAGGTGATGATGGACATGTGATGATGGTGATCAAGCTCTGAACTTGGAAAAGAAGAAAGAGAAAAACAAAATGGGCTCAAGGCAAAGGTATAATTGATAGGGCCATTTTGTTTTGTCACTCAAGACGTGTGAGTGGGTTTAGGTTAGATAGCCGTACTATCAATAGGGGATAATCTCGGTTAAAATGGTTGTCAAGTGCCACTAGGTGAAGTGATTCATGCATGTGCATTAGGACCTAGTGCACTAACAATTAACCCTTGGAAAATACTTAAAAAATGCTAACACACTTGCACATGGTGGTGTACACTTGGTGGTGTTAGCACATTTACAAAGATGGTGAAAAAGGAGAAGAAATAACATATAAAAAGGTGAAAATAGTGGCACTCTCTCAACAAGAAATTCTTATTGAGGAATAGTAAGGGTGTAGTGAGAGAGATGACACTCAACCAGCAATTCTCGTTTATGTACAAGAAATTCTGGCTGAGGAATAGTGCTTGAAAGAGACTTGTAGGCTTCGGACCCTGGGCATGGTCTCCGAACCCGGGGACACGTGGGTCTGGCCTTGCACCGTGATAGAGCCAGCGTAGGCGCGCATGACTCCAGACCGCGGAGTGCCACATCCTCGGACCAACGTGGCTGGGTCCGGCTTGAGTCGCAGGCGGGCGATGCTACGAGCGCGTGTGTGTTGGCGGTCACTAACGATCAAATTCGACCGCCAATTACTATCCAAAATAGGAGAAATTAAGCAAACTTGTACACATATGCTTTTACTTTGGCATAGTTTCACTTGTATTGGAAGAAATAGGTTTTGCAGGACTTATATTGGAATACAATGGAATTATAGTCGAAATACGCCATCAGAGAAAGCGTAATGCAGATCATACACCAAGGAGTCAAGCAAAGGCCCATCCAACTGCCAAATTTGGGCCGGGCACCGACGTAGAAGAGGTCCAGGCCCAGCCAAGAGCCCACTGGAGCAAGGCGGTGGCGAGCGGGGCTAGCCAAGGTGCGACCATACCCCCACCACACCTTCTTGGGCCCACGCTCCTCCGGCGGTTGCATGCCACCATGCATAGGCGGTTCATGAATGTTTCCTAATTTTCCAGCGCTAAACCGACCATGCTTTACTATATAAGAAGAGGAGGAGCTCACCTTCACACACACCATCATTTGGAGCTACACCTCACCTCTCTACTTGTACTTTTTTAGTTCTTAGCTTTAGTAGTATTTGAGAGCAAGGCAAGAGCTACTTGGAGAGCTTGTCTCCTTAGAAGAAAGAGCAACTTTGGTATGAATAATACTATGAAGAGTTCTTCCATAGTCATGCTCTCATATCATTTATATAGTAGTGCATATGAATTAGAGTATAGTTTTCATGTTATAATCATGATATATGAACTAGCATATAGTTTGTGTGTTATGATCTTAACATGTTCGACTTTAAGCTTAATCATTCATATGACTTGTATGAGTAGAAGTAGAGCTAGGGTTGGGGTGGCGGTTCGTCGTTCCTTCGGGTTTGCCCATATTCTTGCTTGTCAATCCGTAGGGTTGGAGTCCTAGGGGATATGGGTAGTTTCCTTATACACAGGCGTGGTGCTCGGTGCATAGGAACCTTCGGATATGACGGTATCTCACAATTGAGGGGTAGGTGGCAGGTGGTGACAGCCCTATCCGTCCCTTGTAATCCCCCACATCCGGGTATTGTGTAGGAGTTTTAAAGTCTCTCGCGCTTGCTGGCAGACCAGTGCTCGGAGATCTCCCCAACCATCTTAATCATAGTTCTAACTCTAGTGCATAACTTGTATGATCATTAACTGTTCTTTGTACGGCTATATTAGAACATGCTGGCTCCACATAGGAAAATTCTTTTATTCTTTGATTTTCCTTTTATCCTTGAGGTTGGCCCAGATATGTGTCCACTATCCATGATATACTATTTTTACCCTTGTCATGAACTATGGTCCATTATGCAAGTATGTAATCTTGATCATGCTCATACTAGACTTTGCATATCTTGCCCTCCTTTGGGAAAATATAAATAACGATACCCTGAATACTTTCGGGTAAAATGCTACAATGATAGATCCGTATGCTTGCGGATATTGTCTGTAATCTTTAAGGACTATCATAGTTGGTGTTTCTTGGCGGAGTTGCTAAGATTAACTCAATCTTAGTAATGGTGTTAAGAAATACCAACAGACATTTCTAGCGCCGTTATCGGTGATGGACTTAAAACCTCCTCACTTGGTGATTGCGCTAAGAAATACCAACAAGCATTTCTGGCGCTGTTGTCGGGGAGGGCATAGGTTGAAAAGAATCTAGCATAACATGAACAATGATCACATGCATGTAATGGTAGCCATAGTTTATGTAGGCTAATTCTACTTGTTTTTTTCTGTTGTGGATGAAAACAGGATAGTGTATGAGTGGTTTTGATCTGCCAAACAACTACATCGATAATCCGAAGGCACTCCTAAGGAAGAGCTAGTCTCGTACTGCTTCTTCTTCTGCTACTCCACTGTCAGTTGAACCAGTCACCCCCGTACCATCTGCTACTACCGCTATGGCCAAGTCATTCCGTGACTACTCCACCCTCGCTGTTGCCAATGTGCCCATTGGGCCCGCTGTCAATACGGGAACTGGAAACTTTGAGGTGTGTACTGGCCTCATTACGATAGTGCAGACAAATCAAATCTATGGTTTGCCAAGAGAGGACGCAAGTGCACACTTGCAACACTTCCTGGAGCTGTGCGACACCATAGTCATTAAATACGTCACATAAGCTAGCATTAGGCTCCGTCTGCTTCCCTTCTCCCTTGTAGGGTAGGCAAAACAGTGGTTCTATAAAGGGAAGGAAGCTGTCAGTATGTGGGGCAAATATTCCGCGGCGTTCCTCGTGAAGTTTTTTCCCATGGGCAAAACCAATGCCCTGAGGGGGGGAATTTCAAACTTCCAGCAATCTTCACTCGAATCCATCCCTGAGGCGTGGGAAAGGCTCTAGGACTACATCCAGGCATGCCTGCACCACAAAATAGAGGACTAGCTCATGATCTAGAACTTCTACGAGGGGCTCATGCCCATGTTGAAGGAGCACGTTGATGCCGCTGCTGGAGGAGCATTCCTCTCCCTAACCGTCGATGGAGCTAAGGCTCTCATCGAGAAAATGGTGGCTAATCAAAGCTAGGGGAGGACCACAAACAACAAAAATGCATGCATACCGTAAAGGAGGAGGATATGCTTGCCACAAAAATGGATTTGTTACTAAAAAGGCTTGACGAGCGTGCCACCAACAAGGAGGCAATGAAGGGCACCGTCAAGGCCACGGACTCGCAAATGACTCGCGAAGTCTATGGAGAGGTCGAATATTCAGGGAATAACTACCCCGAGACCCATGAGGAAGCATCATACATCAACAACAGGTTCCGACCAGGTAACAATAATGGGTGGAACAATCAATCCTGCCCGCAAGGAGGTAATTCGAACTTCAACTCTAATTATAATTCGAATCAACCTACCTTGAAAGACCTGGTCTTAGGCTAGGCAAAAATCAATGAAAATATCTCTAAAAAGCTTTCATATAATGATAAAATGTTCGAAAATATAAATACAAAACTTGAAAACCTATCTTC